TGTCTTTGTGCGTGTGTGTGTGCGTGTGCGTGCGCGTGTGCGTGTGTGTGTGCGTGTGCGTGTGTGTGTGTGTGCATGAAAATATCCACTGTCAGTGTGTCGTATGTTTGTGCACTGCCTGTGTGCCTGGTTACCGCATCGAAACTGTGGGTGTAATTTCCTGCCGGGATCTGGAAATAGCATTTTCCCTGAATTTGCTTTTCCAAGACACCATAGCATCCAACACCTCAAACTACCGCTTTTGTAAACAATTAATGTCCACTTATAGCTAATCTTAGCAGAATTCTGCAACTGTAAACTGGCAGAAGCAAGAATGTGTGAACCCCATGACTGTGCATGTACATGTGCCTGTGTGTGAGTGTGCTGAAGTCATCCAAATATTCTCAACAACCAGCAACAAGCCCGTGCCAACATCCCCCTGACTGGAGATAGCATGTGACTGTCCTTATGCTAGTGTTCAAAGCCATAGTCACTCGCTAAGCCTCAGCTCACATCTACTGTTTTGTGTCCAATAATCCTGTCTGTTTCTACCACCTGCAAACACCACTGAGGCATAAAACAAAACGAATACATAAACTGAGTAAATGCAGTCTAAATACAAAGGAAGGATATTTTAAGAGTTTTTTTTTTTTTATCTAACAATCCTTTTGGCTTTCCTAAAACGGAGAACCTTTCTACTGCTGTAAATTAATTAAAATCACTGTGTTGTTTTTTAAAACACAGTCAGCTATTCGATAATTATAGAAAATGCTAGAAAAGAATGTATAGTTCCCGGGGGCTGTGCTCCAAATAAACTATTTAACTGCATAGTGAAGGAAAGGTCTCCGTAAAAGAAACTAGATTTTCCATATCTTTAATATTCTAGTGGAACATATGGCTGGTTACAATTTATTGTAGTAATGTGTAATGGTTACTGAATATTTTCATAGCATAATTTTACCAACACTGTATACTAGGGCTGCACAATTTATAATAATAATAGTAATACTATCAAAATTACAACATGACCAAGTGCAATATGCACATTGCAGGAAGCTGCAACTATTAAAATGAAGGACTGAAATTCTGCAGAGATGCCACGGTCTACTAATCTTCTTCTCCAGATTTAAGAAAACACATTTGTTTGGTACACACATCAATCACATCATTTCAGGGAAAAAATTCAATTTGTGATGTAGAGATGATTATTCCCGCAATAATTACAAATCATATCGCAATTAAAGTATCTATCAAAATAATTGCAATGTTTTTAGCATATTGTGCAGCCCTACTGTGTGCGGTATGCATTCCCTTATTGTAAACAACAACAGCTGTCTGTTACAATGACACAAATACAATGTGAGCTTTATTTTTCACTAAGTCATACAGGTGGTCGTTCTCTTTATGAAATAAAAGTCAAAAGAACAGACAGTCAGCCATATTGAACACCTGCACAGAATGATGCTCCAGCAAAGGAGGGAAATATTTTTATTTCTTATCTCTTTGCTTGTGTTTTGGAGTAAGTGTGCAGAAAATGTATTCTCTGCTGATTCACTGCTGATGCAGTTGAAGATGACGCCTTCCAGACGTAGACTCCCAGGTGCTAGCATGAGATGACATGTTTAATGACTATCCAACACAAGTTAGGATGCTCAACAGTCAGGTCTGATGCACCTTACACTGAGCAAAATAAGCTTCCGTTTTAAAATGACAATTAGTGAAACAACCGCACTGTCGAGGCTATAGAGCAGCCATGTTAGAGCCAAGTGCTAAAAAGAAATGACGTGACAGTATAATGAGCACAGTACACACTAATGTACCTCAACACAGGCTGGTTTTAGTGTATTACTCTTAGATGGTAATCTAGACCAAACCGTGTTCCTAGAATGCCTTTAGTGCATGAACAACAGTGAAGCAGCACAGGACTGTGGGCAGCCTAATGTACCTAAGAGATTAGACAGCCATGAGCTCAACAGTCACAAGCACGGACAAACTTGCACACATTGGTGCCCATCCCCCTCCTTGTCCAACTCTCTGTTACACAACATATACAGGGATTACTCTTCATAGCATGAGACGAACTGCTCCATGAGTGGCCTTTTATCGCGGATGCCCCTTAGTGCTACGAAGCACACACAGGGAAGGGGAATTGACAAAGAGAAAATCAGAGTCTCAGCAGCAGAGAGTTTAACTGTTGTGGAAATGT